CCTCTATGAGATGGATTGATTTGGTGACTGGGGTAATAGGGATGGGTGTGTCAGAGGCGGTGCGGTTGGCACAGGATAGAGCAGGGTTTAGGGCTGTTGTGCATAGGGTCCTTCTCTGAAGGACTTCGCAAAAAAATAAAATCCCAGAAATTGATGGATTACAATTGATATATTTCAGCAAACAGATGCTGCCCTGCATGTGCTCACCATGTTGTGCCAAGAAATATGGAAGACAACTACTTGGCCAACTGACTGGAATAAATCCATATTTATTCCCATTCAAAAAAAAGTGGCCTGTTGCAGACTGAGGGTCCCAAAGAATGGAAAATTTTATAAATATTAATAATGAGATGAACAGCCAGGAATGTGATAGAGCAGAGAGCATAAAACAGGGGGCCAGCAGTTCTGGACTGAAGACTGCAAGCCAAGTTTCTCTGTATCTTTATTGAAAATTATCAGGAAGTAAATCACAAAGAGAATTCAATGCAAATGAAGCCAAGCTCTTTCTATTGAAAACCTTCTGCTTGACTCAGGAGGGAGGAGTTCACAAATGCAAGAATCTGGTATACTCTTAAGTATTGCCTTGATGCCTCAGGGTGAACTCTAGCTCAGGAAGTAACACTCCCTCTCTAGGGGGCCCCTTGCTGTCTCCAGTCTGCAGGGAACAAACAGTTCATTTTCTATTATCTGCCAAGAGAAATCCTAACTTATAAATCTGTAATTCCTTCAATTCCTGAACAAGGGTTTTCATATAATGTTTGGTATAAAGTTTGGCTTCCCATAGTGGACCTACAGAGTGTGTCAATTTTCCAACAAGATCACTAGTATCACACACTAGCAAAATCCTGCTGAAGATTATCCACAAAAGACTTGAACAGTACATTGACAGAGAACCACCATAAATATAACTGGGATTAGAAGAGTTTGTGGCACTATGGACATTATTGCCAATGTCAGATGGATATTGGCAGAAATCAGAGTAACAGAAGAATATTTATATGTGTTTCATTGACTATGCAAAGGCATTTGATTGTGTGGATCACAATAAATTGTGGCTAACCTTGAAGAAAATGAGAATCTCAGAACACTTGATTATGTTTATACAAAACCTATACTTGGACCAAGAATAAGTCCTCCGAACAGAGCAGGGAAATACAGCATGGTTAAAAATCAGGAGTGTGTCAGGGGATGCATCCTGCTTCAAACTATTTCCATCTGCATACAGAACACCTCATTCAGGAAGCAGTGCTTTATGAGACGGCGTGTGGCATTGAGACTGGAGAAAGACTCATTAATAACCTAGAATATGCAGATGACACAACCTTGTTTGCTGAAACTGAAGAAGACCTAAAGTGCTTGCTGCAGAAGGTCAAGGACTTTAGTCTTCAATATGCATTGGTGCTCAAAATCAAGAAGACAAAGATTCTCACCACTGGGTCAAGTGGCAGCACCATGAAAGATGGAGAAGAGTTAGATGTTGTTAGCAATTACAGCTTGCTCGGATCCACAGTCAACTGTCTTAACAACAGCAGTCAGGGAATTGAAAGACAAATTGCACTTTGAAAATCTCCTGTCATGGACCTCCTTCCAGAGTGCTTAAAAGAAACAATGTCAGTCTAGGTACAAAGGTACGCCTGATCCAGCCCATGGTCTTCTCAATTATTTGTTATGCTTCAGAGAAGTGGGCAATGATTATGGATGACAGAAGAATTGATGCCATCAAGTTTTTATGCTAGAGAAGAGTCTTGAACATACCATGGACTGTCAAGAAAACAAATAGGTCTGTTTTGGAGATGGTGAAACCAAGTATCTCCTTGAAGGTTAGGATTTTGAAGCTCCAACTCACTTACTCTGGGCACATTGTCAGGAGAGATCAGTTCTTGGAGAAGGACGTCATCTTCTGAAGGGTAGATGGACAGCCCCGAATAGGAAGACCCTGGATGAGATAGATGGATACAGTAACTGGGGCAATTGGGGTCAGTGTGTCAGAGTTAGTGAGACTGGCGCAGGACGGGGAAGAGTTCAGAGCTACTGTACTGACAAAGGGTCGCTATATATCACAGGTGATTCAATGGCACATAACAACAATAACATACCATGACAGGTTTGGAAGCAGGAGTGGCATACATTTCCTAAACAAGATGCCTCCAGAAACTATGAACTTTGATAAATGTTAATAGTTGTAGAGGGCCTTCAGGCCTTTTGTTCAGAGGGTCACTATGAATCATGCTCGATTTAAAGGCCATCGACAACAGCATTGACAAAATAGGGTCTTTAGCATTTTAATGATGATTGGATAGAGGTTTAGAAAGATTCCAGAATGGATCTCAATTTGTGGGATTTTAAATTGAATTTTATATGTTATCATTTACTCAAGTACCTACTACCTTACTTTGGGCATTTTTCTCAGGAGAAACAAATCCTTAGATAAATCAATGAAGAGAGAAGTACCTTCGAAAACATGGACTTGTACAGTGATTACCATAATGGACTTGTTGTCAAGTACTATAGAGTGGGAACCAACCCATTGCTGACCCTCTGGTGGTTTTTCAGAAGCAGTAACTGCATGAGAGGATATTTCCCATCATTTTCCCGCTCAGCACCTGGTGCCTTCAAACCATATGTCTTCAGGGATTCAGTGCAGCTTCTTGCCACTAAACCACCAGTGCTCCTTGGACTTGAGCAGGACAGAAATCACAAGGATGGCACAGAATGGTACAAAGATAAGATCTTTTGTTGTTCATTGGGTTGCTATGAGTTACAATTGACAATATGGTATCTGACAACAACAACAATAAATACCAGATATTGTTGTTGTTGTTGTTGTTATGTGCCATCAAGTGGCCTGTGACTCATAGCCACCCTATGTACAAGAGCCCTAAAACTTGCTCTATTCTGTGCCAACCTCATTGTCTCCAACACACCTCTTCCCATTACCTCAGTCACTGAGCCGATCCGTATCATCGATAGTCTTCCTCTCCTACGCTGTCCCTCTACTCTCCCCAACATGATGTCCCTCTCTAAGGACTGGTCCCTTATTGCAACAAGCCCAAAATATGTCAGACAAAACTTCAGAATCCTTGACTCCAAGGAGTAGCTCAATTTAACCCTCTACAGGACAAATCTGTTTGTTCTCCTAGCAGTCCACGGTATATTTAATACTCTTCTCCAGCACCATAGCTCAAAGGCATCAATTATCTTTCTATCATCCCTAGTCACTGTCCAGCTCTCCGATGCATAGCACACAATTGGGAAGACTGTAGCTCAGATCAGGCACACCTTAGTCCCCAGCTTGATGTTGTTGCACTTCAATATTCTGGAGAAGTCCCTGACAGCTGACTTTCCCAATGCAATTCATCTCTTGATTTCCTGGCTGCTGTTACCAAGAGTGTTGACTGTGGAGCCAAGTAAATGAAAACTATTAATTACCATCCATATTGATGCTGCTGATTGGCTCTCTTTGTTTCTTGATGTTGAGTATCAATCCATATTGAAGGCTGTAGTCCTTAACCTTCTGCAGTAAGCAATTCAAGTCCTCTTCCATTTCAGGAATAAGGGTTGTGTCATCTGCCTAACACAGGTTGTTGATGAATCTTCCACCAATCCTAATGCCACATTCCTCCTTATATGGCCTAGCATCCCAGATGATCTGTTCTGAATACAGATTGAAACGATATGAAGATAGAACAACTCCATGGTGGACCCCCTTCATGATTTTGAACCATGTAGTATCTCCTTGCTCTGTTCTGATGATTGCTTCTTGGTCCAAGTATAGGTTTCGCATAAGCACAATCAAATGTTCTCAGATTTCCATTCTTCCCAATATCAGCCACAATTTGTTGTGATCCACACAATCAAAAGCCTTTGCATAGTCAATGAAACACAGATAGACATTTATCTGGTTCTCTCTGCTTTCTGCCAAGGTCCATCTAACATTAGCTATAATATACCTAGTACCGTGACCTCTTCTAAATCCAGCCTGCACACCTGGCAGTTCTCTGTAGACATATTGCTCCAGTTGTTTTTTAGATAATTTTCAGCAGAATCTTGCTTGCATGTGATATCAATGACACTGTTCAATAATTTCCGCACTCTGTTGGGTCACCTTTTTGGGAATGGGAACAAATATCGTACTCTTCCAGTCAGTTGGACAGCTTGCTGTCCTCCAGATTTCTTGGAACAACTTAGTGAGCACATCCAGGGCAGCATCCATTTGTTGAAATATATCAATTGGTATGCCATCAACTCCTGAGAACTAGAACTAGAACTCCTTCCTGAGAAAGGGAACTAGGTTTAGAAAAACATGTTATGAGTGCATATTTTAACTTAGCAAATCAGAAGTTCTAAGGGATATTCATGAGTAAGTTGACTTATATCAAAATAAGTATATTGAAGTTTCCTAGAAAATTACTCTTATAGCCAATTGTTTCAATTTTCCTCCTCATTTTCTACACATTAGATTTACTTTACACTCACTTTATAATACTCTTCTTTTGAACAAAGTATCACACATCTATGAAGACAGCTGTATCCAATTGGAGTTGGCCAATGCCCTGATCTCTTTTTAGATTAAGTAAGCTTGGTGGTTTAGCTTCTTTTTCTGTGTCTTGGTGACTTGGGAATTCTCCTCAGCATACGCCATTGTCTTAATTTTGTGAGACATAAAATTGAAGCAAAATCTGGGACACATTAGAGCAAACACCATTAGACATCTGATTTATATAATGCCTAACAAATGATACCTTACTTTGTTGTATAACCATGATTTGTGCAAAAGAAATTTAATTTTAGAAGGCAATTGTGCATTCACTGGTACAATCCTTACCTCCCATGATTGCTCCTCAGGCGCATCTCAGACATCTATAAGAGGAGGATTGCATGTTGCTGTTATGCTGAATAAGTTTTCGCAGAGATTATAGTCTAAGAAAGAATAGGAAGAAAGCCTTGCCAATCAACTTAAAAAAAACTCAGCCACTTAGCATACTCAGTCTTATAAACACACATACTGTATAAGATTATTGTTGTAGAACAAATGTAAGAATCCAAGTTGGGGAGAGTGGAGAAGAGGAGTGAGGGTGGGTGGGGAGGGGGACTTAATCATAGGGTTGCACATTTTGATGGGTAGCTAGACGGATGGGTATATGAAAGGGGAATGATCCATTGTGAAAAACAACGCATATGAACTTTGTAAGTAAACCCATATTTTAAAAAATCAGCCAATTAAAACTCTGTATGTTAAAACTATTCTTCAATTAGAGGAGTAGAGCAAGACCATGAGGCATTGCATTCCATTGCCCCTGCGGTCACTAAGAGTCAAATCCATTGACATTGGCCAATAATCGATCATATCCACCACAAACAATCTTTTTTCTTCAAGATAGAAAGGAAAGATGGCTGGGCTCAAGATGATAATCCTATGAACAAACCATCACCGTATTCATGTGACAGTGTCTAATTCCACTATTTGCTTGTGATGACATAGAATGCTAGCAGACCTGGAAACAAAAATGCAAACTTGTCACCAAGTAACAAATTCCTGTATGAGTGTCTCTATTTTATTTGAATTCCTCAAAGCTAAACAAATACCTTGTCATAGAAATAATGCTCCCTACCTTCGTGCCCGGGCTCTGTCTTCCTCACATTACAGAAGGTTATTGCTCCAGTTCAACAAAGTAGATGCCTAGATCGTCCAGGCTAGCATAAAATCTATATCACTTTTCAAATTAATTTTTATTTTGTTTCTCTTTTTCAGGATGTTAGATGTGCAACTTTTTCTCTGCCTTCTGCTATCAGTGGCACAACTGCTTAGTGGTATTTTAGCCAACGGGATCATTTTAGCTGGGAATGGTATAGACTTGGTCAAGAGAAAGATGTGGAACTCCCTGAGTCTCCTTCTCTCCTGCCTAGCCATTGTTCGGATTATAATACAGGTGTTATTTTTCTACATGGCGTTGGCTTTTCTCTCCTTGGTAGAATTTCCTATGGTAGAGAGATATTTTGTTGTCTGTATGTTCATTGAAGAATTGGGACTCTGGTTTGCCACATGGTTAGGTGTTTTCTACTGTGCAAAGATCGCCAACATTTCCCACCCAATATTCTTCTGGCTGAAGAGAAGGATTTCCAAGCTTGTACCCTGGCTGATCCTGGGGTCCGTGCTGTATGCATCTGTCATTTTAATTGGACACAGCCAACATACATCGAAAATTTTTAAACAAATATTACTGAGTTTTCTCTCAAATAATGGCACAAATCAGAACAAACAAGACTTTGCTTATCCATACACTATTTTTATCATTGGATTGTCCCTGCCGTTGTTTATTTTCCTTACAGCTGTGTTGCTCCTTGTTATCTCTCTCGGGAGACATACAAGGCAGATGAGGTTCATGGGTAATGGGAAGAATCCAAGCAGGAGCATTCCTCTCAGTGCCGTACTGTCCATCTTGTCCTTCCTCATACTCTACCTCTCTCACTATGTGGCTGGAATGGTGTTCGTATTTCAGATCCTTCATGAAGGAAACCTTATCTTCCAACGCTTCTTCTTCTTGGTTGGGACATACCCTGCAGCCCACTCTATCATCTTAATTCTGGGAAACCCTCAACTGAAAAAAAATATACAGATGCTCTTTCTTTACGGGAGGCATCATCCATGAGTGAGGACACTGATCCATCTCAGAGACTCAGGAAGCTAGTGGTGACCACGCTTGCATATATACGGCCAAGGGAAAGAGTCTGCTATTTTAAGAATGAATGGCTTGAGACAGTCTTTTGGAATTGGGCTTTTTAAAAGGTTGGACTGACATTTTTTCTAAACAATGCTTAATTCTGTAGCTGATGTGTCAATGAACTTGCTGGGATAAACTTGGAGTTTTGTAAGGTGCTACCCCTGGGACCAGGAAATTACCACTCTATGTGAATCTACATTCATCTAAATATAATAATGAAAGAATATAGGAGACAATTTTGGACTTGTTGTGTAGAACAGACACTTATAGAAGAACAGTGACAACTGAGAAAAGTCTCCAGGGGTTCATCTGAGTCCAATGGATCATTCATTCATTTCTTATCCATTGTTATTTGCAGTTGAGTTGCTGCGACTCATGTTGATCGTATATACAATAGAACCAGTGTTGACAGTCTTACAGTCATTGTGATCTCATTCTTAAAATGTCATTGTTGTAACATTGTATATTGTAAGTGTCTTTTATGCTAAGCTCTAACACACTTACTTTGAGCATATTTCCAGGAGAGGCCAGTCCTTGGAGAAAGACATATTTTAAAAGGTGGAGGGATAACACAGGAGAGGAAGATCCTGGAAAAGATGAATTGACACAGTGATGAGGGTAATAGAGGCAGGTGTGTCTGGGACAGTGAGATTGGCTCAAGATAGGACAGGATTCAGAGTTCTTGCACATAGGAATGCTATGAGTCACAGGTGATTTGATGGCATATAACAACAGCAGCAACAACAACAACAATTCTAAGCTGAGTTTTCTCTTAACCATATAGTAGATTATTCTCTTACACACATTATTGCTCCGTGGTGATCTAGGTGGTTTAATTTGTAAATATTTTGAGTTGGTAAAACTTTGCCCCACATACTTTGAACATGCTATCAGAAGGAAAGAGTCCAGGATGAAGGACATTATTATCCTTTGTAAAATAAAAGGTGAGTGAAAAAGAAGACCCTTACTAAGATGGATTGGCACAATGACTATAAAAATGGACTTGAACCTTGTAGGAGATCATGGAGATGGTACACAATGCGACAAGATTTTCACAGGGTCCTTATAAGTCATAGTCAACTTGACAGTACCTAATAACAACAAAAATTAAATCTTTATATGCATCAAAAGGCTTCTCCAAAAGAGTAAAAAGAGCACATACAGGGAAATCTATTTGGCGATGACAGAGCTGAAAAGAGACTCAGCCCTAAAATTTTTAGAAAACTCCGACACCTCAACAATAAATAGACAAATATACAAATAATTAAAAATTGATCACAGGACATGATTAAACACTTTACCAAAGAAGATATTCAGATAACTTAAAAACACTTGAAGAGTAATGTCTAACAGAATGACAGACATCAGAATAGCAATAAGTTATTAACTCATACCAGAAACAATAGTAAAGTTCAAAAAGACAGCAATGGGACATATACAGTCTTAAGGTTATGGAGAGAACTCTCATACACTGTTGATGGGAGTATAAAATGTTGCAACAATTACTGGAAACAGTGTGGCATTTTCTGAGAAAGTTGGGACTAGAAATAGCAATTGACCCATGAATCCCAATAGTGGGTATAGATCCCAGAGTAAAAAGAGCAGTGACAAAAACTAACAAACACACTCCACCTGTTTTTTTTTAGCATTACTTATATCAGTAAAGGGTTGGAACCACCCTGCATATCCATCTACAGATGAATAGCTAGAGAAACTGTTGTGTACTCATCCAGTTGAGTACTAAAAAATATACAAAAGGCGAAGAATTCATGAAACACCGCACAACATGAACAAATCTACAACAAATTTTGCTGAACGACATAGACCAGTCACAAAAAGATAATTATTGTAGAAGAGTACTGTTATTAAAACTAAGGAAGCATGTGATACCAATCTTAAAAGGATAAGAGGAAAAGAAATGGAATGAAAAATAACAAATAAGTTGAGTGATGGGAAAGCCAATCTAAAGAATGCATTGATAATATATTGTAATCAAGCATATTAAACAATGACAATGTTGAAAACAAAATTTTTGTGAATGATTACTTACTCAGACATCTTCTCAATATTAGCCATATTTTGTTATAATCCACACAGTAAAATGCCTTTACATAGTCATTAAAACATAAACAGACATACTTATGGTATTCTCAGCTTTCCATCTGACACCAGAAATGATATCCCTGGTTCGACAGCCTCTTGTGAACATAGGAAGCATTTGACATTTGAATCATTTTATATTTAATAAAATTATAGCTAACACTAAACAGAAATCCCAGTATACTTAGTATTGATCATGCAAAGCCTAGAACAAGAAATTATTGTGTAAACGAAGAAAGAGGATACTGCATGGTTTACAAGCAAGAAAAGTGAGTGTGAGAGCTGAATCCTTTCTTCAAACATATTAAATCAGTATGCATGGCAAATTATTCAAGAATTTGGGCTTTATAAAGACAAATGTGAAGTTAAAATTAGAATAAAACTTATCAGCAACTTGTATTATGTAAAGGATACAAGCTTGCTTGTTGAAAGTGAGGAGGACCTGAGGACTTTGCTGATAAAGTTTCAACTACTAAAGCCTCAACATGATCTACATCTCAACATTAAGGAAACCAAAATCTTCATCACTAGGCTAATGGACAACATTATGATAAATGAAGGGAAGTTTTAAGGTGTCAGTGATCCAGAATCAGCACCTTCCATACCATCAGTCAGAAAATCAAAGGATGTTTTGCATTGGTGAAATCTACTTGATAAGAACATTCCAAGGGACTAATGAACAGTGATGTCAGTTTAAAGACTAAAGTGTACCTGATTCAAGCCATGGTCTTCTCAATTTTCATATTTCTAAAGCTAAACAGTAAATTAAGTTGGCAGAAGAGTTGATTTCTTTGAGTTGTGGTACTGGAGAAGAATACCAAACATCTCATGGAATGCCAAAGAACAAATAAATTTATCTTGGATAAAATGTAGCTAAAGTATTCCTTAGAGGCAAGGGCGATGAAGTTTGTTTCACATGCTTTGAGAATGTGTCAGGAGGGATGAATCCATGGAAAAAGACATCATTTTTGGAATGGTGGAAGATACTTGAAAGAGCAGAATTTACTTAACAAGGTGGATCAACATAGTAACCTTTGCAATGGACTTGAGTTATCAGGAATAGAGTGGCACGGTAGTAGGTGAAGTTCAGAACAACTGTTCATAGAGTTGCTGTGAGTTGTATTTGACTCAAGAGCACCTCACAACAATGGCAACAACAATATTATTTGTAAACTTTCACTCAAAAATGTATAATATTTATAATATAACTGGTCTTCACATTGCAAAAATCACAGGGAAATTGTCATTTCATGAAATGTCATTTTAATGCGTCATAGTTAGGTGTGCTTGTTCTTTTCTAAATAATTCTAATAGAATATATTGTACTTGATAAAAAATAGTTTGGAAGTTGATTTTCAATAGTATATCATTTTACTTTTATGTACTCTTTTTTTTAGTTTTTTTTTTATTTTCTTTTACTACTTTTAATGAACATTTACAGAAATTTGAGATTTCCATTCATTCATTATTGCATTTTTTTCTTCCTGCCCCAGCCCCCAGTTCACTCTTCTATTTGAAAAATAAAAGAAAAAGTTCTTCCTTGGTATACAATCCAATGCCACCCCCTCCCCGAGTACACTCCACTATGCAACCTTCATTCCGGACTCTTCTCATAACCATAATACCCAATCATATATCACTTTTAAACTGTCCCTCCCTCATCTGTTTCAATGCAGTGCTCTTTTGATAAAATAATTTAAGCTGTTTCCATGTAAATATTTTCTATGAATTTTATATAAAGAAATGTGTATTTGAAAGTAAATAATGTCATGTCACAATGAATATCTATTGGATTATCTAGCCATGTGAAAGAACAGCATTGTTTTGTAATAACTAAAATAATGTTCAATTGTATTTTGATATCTATGTAAAAATTTTTATCAGTAGAAATAATTTTATGATCAGTTATTGTTAAGTTAAAAGAGAGCTTTTCACAACATTTATTCAGCAGACCAAATCTGGCTTAGTCACATTCATTATTGCCAATTCTGTAGAAATTTCCACAAGATGATTCTGGTTTTAAAATATCTTCTCAGTAATTTATTGAAAGTGCTATAATCATGTTATAAATGGATAAAAGGTGGATGGTTTACGAAATTGGTGTATATTCGTATCATATCTATTTGTATGCGCATACTGTTCTTGTTAGGTGCCATTGAGTTGAGTATTACTCATAGCAGCCTTATAAACCATAGATTCAACAGAATTGAACCCTGTGTTAGCCTGTGCCTCATCATTGCCTCTGACAATCTTGAGGAAATGGCTTCAGTCACTTTGCCAAACCACATCACTGAGGGCCTCTCTCTCTCTCACTGACCTTTCTAAGCATGGTATCCCTCTCTTAAGGAATAACATCTCCTAGCAACATAGCCAAAGTACGTCAGATGGAGCTTTATCATCATTGCCTCCCAGGAATATTCGGGTGATACTTTATCCAAAACCTGTTGGTTCTTTTGGTAGTTCATGGGATATTCAGTGCTCTTCTCCAACATCATATCTCAAAGGCATCAATTCTTCTTCTCTCATTCTTATTCATTTCCCAGCTCTCATATCTATA